GGTTTTCCCAGTTATTTATGCACCAGGAAATGTTTGCCAAGGACACCCTGGGTGCTCCCCACAGCCCTGGGAGGTCCCAGCTCCAGGCAGGTGGGACAAAGCTGGGATGGGCATTCCAGGGCTTAGAAAAGGCTGGGAGAGCTGGGATTGTCCAGTCTGGAGAGGAGAAGGCTCCAGGGAGAGCTCAGAGCCCCTGCCAGGCCCTAAAGGGGCTCAGGAGAGCTGAGAGGGACTGGGGACAGGGATGGAGGGACAGGACAAGGGGGAAACTGAAGGGCCCAAGAGGATGGACCCAGGTTTGTGTGACAGCTTTACCTCTGCTAAGGTCTTTTCTTTCAGAGGAGTTTCTCCATTATAGCAGATTTCCCACAGGGTTGTACCAAAGCTCCACTTGTCTGCAGCAATGCTGAGGTTTTTGGAATCTTCCACACACTCAGGAGCAATCCAGGGGATCCGCTCGACGCGCTCTGGGGTGAAAATCACAGGGGAAAAAATGGAATTATCCTTGCCTGAAATAAACTGGAGCTGCAGAACTTGATTCTCAAATTCCTGTTTGCAGAAGGATTTCACAGGCTGGTGCCTGGAGCCATCCACAAACAGATTCCTTCTGTCTCATCTCACTGGACACAACATTTTGTGAGAGAAATGAATGCTCTGAACAGCACTGAGTGCGTGCAGATCCGTGAAAGCTGATTCCTGCTACACACAAATACAGTGTTTGTATGAAATGCCATTCCTGGCCATACCTTGCCTGGAGAGCACCGTGATGGGGATTCCTGGGTCACTGAGCTTGATGAAGGGCCCGTACTCGCTATCAATGCCCTCTCTGGCCAGCAGGATGTTCTTGGTGCACACATTGCCATGCACCAAATCCTTGTCCTCCTACACAAGAGCAGGGAAAGAACAGTGAGAGGGATGGGAGAGCTCCAGGATATCCACGCCACAGGGGATCTCTAAAGTGCTCCAAGCTGAAATCCAAAATCACACCAGGGAAGAAACTGGAGCTCTGCAAGTGCTCCAGGATATCCACACCACAAGGGATCTCTGAAATGCTCCAAGCTGAAATTCAAAATTACACTGGGGGGAAACTGGAGCTCTGCAAGTGCTCCAGGATATCCAGACCACAGGGGATCTCTGAAATATACTGAGCTGAAATCCAAAATTACACCTGGGAAGAAATCAGAGGAAGAGAAGGAAAGATGGAGCAGGGAGATGGAGTGTTCCCATTATAGGACTTCTCCTGATGGAGAAATGTATTCCCAGCTAGCCAAGGTGTCTCTGCCAAGGTGTCTCTTACCAGGTAGCTCAGGGCACTTGCGAGCTGTTTGGCCACTTTGAATTTCCATGGGGTTGTGAGAAGTTCACTTTTCTTATGCATGAACAGATCCAGAGGCCCACATTCAACAAACTCTTCCACCATGATATCTGCAGAGGAGGTGCACAAAGTCAGTGCTGCAATGAATTGTTTGGAGTCATGGAATTTGTGTTCACACCTCCCAGCCCAATGGAAAATGTTGGAAAATGTTTTTATTTCACCTTGCCCCAGGTTTCTTTCAGTGCTCAGAGTTCAGATTAAAAGGCTGAGGGGCTTTGTGTGGCAAATGAACATTAAACCTGGAACCAGGCATTCCAAAGGTGGAATTTTAATGCACAGAAAAGCTCAGAAAAACCAGCACCAGGCTGCCCCGTGCTCTGGTACCAAAATCCCTTCAGCATGGCCCTGTGTAACACCCACATGTAACCCAAATTCCTTTCCTGAGTCTGGAAGAGCTCAGGCTGGGGCATTGACCATTTTGTCTTTTAATTTTCTAAATTAAATTTCTAATTTTCTAAAGCTTTGCTCTTCTTCTGGTGCCCACCCCACAACATCAGAACTGTCTTGGCTTAGAGAAGTCACATAAAGGTGTATTTATTGTATACACTTACATTTTTTAAGTGCCTATTTATATTCAAATGTTTAAACATAAAAATGTATACATATAAATATGTACATGCTTTATATGCATCAATATTACAAATATACATTTATTTCATACAAATGAATGTATATTTGTAATAAATGGAATAAATTTAATGGTGCAAATTTCACGGGGTGCTTTGTATCCACACTGCCCCTGCCTCTCTGGCATTCCAGCCTTGGGGAAGGCTCAAACACAGAATTGGAAAGGGAAATTCATTGGGAGAATTATTTAGAGTTGCTTTGCTGCCCCAACTCCACCCTGGGAAGCTCCAGAGGCAGCAGCTGCCAGCCNCTGACATTGCTCTTACCTCCCCCAAATCCCGGATCCTTTTCAAGAACCTCTTCTCAAAGAGGGTGGGATCCACCTCGGTGACGGGTTTCTTCTCCGAGACAATATCGGGATCTGGGGGGAAACATCCCAGGTGAGATTCCTGCCTGGTCTGACACTCCAAGGCATCCTTGCTCTGTTCCCTCTCCCCCCTGCTTTCTGACAGGGAATTCTCCATCCCCTCATGCCAGTCTGGATCTGCTTCCACACCCACAGCAGATTTCTCCACCCTGGAGCAGCCCCTCAGCTCCCAGGAGGCTGGAGGGAGATTTCTCCAGGTCCCTCCAGGCCAGGATTCCACGATCCCTCCCTCAGTGTCCCGGGCCTTACTCTGCTCCTCCAGTTTGTTGATGTCCCTCATGATGGCCCTGAAGAAGGGTCTCTGGTGGGGGTCGTAGTTCATGCACTGCTTCATCAGGTCTGCCAGCTCCTTGCAGGACGGCGTGGCCAGCACAAAGTGCCCCTCGTAGAACCTCTCCTTCTGTGGGAGCAAACACATCCCAGGAGTTTTAACTTCCCCAGCTCCCAGTTCTGAGCTGGGCACTGGCTGGGCTCCAGGATCTCTGAGGTCTTTTCTGACCTGAGCAGTTCTGTGGTTCTACATCAGAGGATGTGACCATGAAATCCTTATTTCAGTGTGGGCTTTGCCAGGGAAATTACCCTGTGCAGCTGGAACTTGGATCTTTAGAGAATTCCTTTTGTGCTGAGTCTGGAGCAACCACTTAACCCATGAAGTTATTGTAACAACATTTCATTCATATTTGTGAAAATCAGATAGGATATTAATCATATAATCAGATGAAAACCAGAAAAAAAGTACAATTATTTGCAGATTTATGTAAGTACCAAGCATGTGATGCCTACTATTACCACAGAAGAATGGATAAAATGCTTTTTCATCAGTGTGCTTGGCTAGCAGCTAAGAATTAAATAATTTGTTCCTTTCAGGAAAAAGCGATAGAACTCTTTTCTATATGGCCCTACAATAATACATAATAATGCAGCGCAGGAAATAATTCCTGAAGGAACTGACATCTTTTTTTAAGGGCAGATCTTTCAGTTCCATTATTTCCTTATTGAATAAGAAAAAGCATCCTAATCAAGATATTACAACTGATGCATGCAGGTCATAATGATTTGGGAGCACAGAAGGCTGTGCCTGGAGTTGAGAAGTGTAGATGATATAGAAGGCCTTTTTTTGGAAAAACAAAAGTGCTGGTGGCTCAGAGCAGAATCCACCCCATCACCTTAGCAGATGTGGATTGATCCTTAGAAACTGCTTTAGCAGAAGTGCAAATCAAATAATGTTCCCGAATCAATTATCTACTCTGCATGATGATCAGATGGCACATGTAGGCTCCACAGCATAATCAAATGGTTATGGAAAAAGGCAAAACTATTTCTTACCCAGCTATAATGTACCAGTCAGCTGAGTTCTACTGTGTTGCTTTACGTTCAAATCTGTAAAAGCCACCTCTTGTTTTTTGGCAAAAAATACTAATTTCTAAATTAATAGTTAGAAATGTAATGGGATGTAGGTTAGATTCAAGTTTTCAGAGGGACAGGAACATAAATTATCTGGGAAATCACAGTAACGCTGAAATCTGAGTGATAGTGACCCCAAAATAAATTTTACCTGTTCCTGAAAAATAAATTTTTCCTCATTATTGGGGAGATCTGTTGCTAAAGTGCTAAAAGGCAGGAAAATAGCTCCCACTGAGCTATTAATAAGACAGAGAAAATAATGATGTAGAACTACATGTCTTCATAAAATACTTCAAAATTAAGATTTCAACGAGTGATATTTTTTACTTAGTATAGCATATGAAGCTTAAATTTTGTATTCTGCATGCTAAAATAGAGGGATTTTTTCTAAAACATTTCCATTACAATTTTTTTATGGCACACACACCTCATGCTTCCCAGTACACTGAAGAGGACAGTAAACTTACCTCTATCAAGCTTAAGTGGACGCCAATTAGGTAAGGCATCGGTGCACTGAAGGAAAGGAGTAGAAAACATCAAGTTTTAAATACAACACTGATGGAGCATTTTAAATCTTGGTACATAAGACCCTAGTAGACAGTCACTGTTTAAGACAGTATTAAATGAACACAGTTGCTACAGGAATGTTTACTAGACAAGGAAAATTTTGGTTTACTCTGCAGTAAAGATGACAACAAAATAAAGGATGCTGCTGCAAACTACGAGGCATGAGCAAGGAGGCACTACAGCTTTTCCTCCAGACCCAGCAACTGACCACACTGAGTTAACCCAGCCAATGTTCCCAAAGTGGGCTGGTTTTAAAACACCAGCTGGAGGACATGGTCCTGCTTACCATCACCAGAGTGCAACACAAACATCATTACCACCAGTTTTGGTTTTGAACCCTCCCCTGGCAAGCCTTTGGAAGCTGTATAATATCCTATTTAACTCAAGATCATCTCCTTCCAATTCTCCTTTCCAATTTTCATAAGATAAGGAACTATATTCTCCAAACAGAACAAATATCCACACAAAGCTGTTACAGTAAGACCTCCTGCAGCATGCAAGCAAGAAACTGAATTAGGCTTATTTATCATGGTTTCCTACAATCTTCTGTTCTGGCAACATCTGACCAAGAATATACTCAGTGTCCAGCACTGAAGGAAAAAAACCTCAACAATCACCATGAGACTTTTGGGTACTGTGAGATTACTGACAATATTCACTCTCAGAGCAGTGAGCAATTGACAGGCTGGTTTAGGCAACTCATGGAAAATGAGTCACTAACAGACCACAGAG